AAAATAAAAAAAGAAATATTTAAAAAAAATAAGTAGGCATCTATAAAATCTTTCACAAGATTTCAGAATATCATGTTGAATGCAGAGTGATTTATTTGGTCATCTCCCTGTTGTTCGATATTTACTGTAATTCAGGCACAAATATCCCGTAACTAAGCGTCCTTTTAAGTAAGTACTTGTGGATCCCGATTGCTGCTTTGGGGTTTGTGCCAGGAGAGCAGCCTGGATGGGCCTCTATATGGAAGTGTGTGTGCGTCCTGTATCTGAGAGGAGACCTCCGCCTCCTGCGGATGACGTGGACTCGTCTTCACTTCATAATTTTTAAACATTTTATTTATTTTTATTTTTGATACAGGGTTTCACTACACAGTTCAGACTCATAGTGATCCTCTTGTCTCAGCCCTCCTGGTGCTGGGATTACAGGCATGCACCACCACACCGGGTTCTGGGGCTGGGGTTCCGAAGCTAGCACAGCATGCAGTACCAGGGATCAAACTTGGGACCTTGCACTTGCCAGGCATGTGCTTATGCTGCTGACCTATCTCCTCAGCCCTTAATTTTTTTAAGAGAATAATAAATAGTAAAAAAAAAATTGGGAACAATATAGATTCTTTTTTTTAGGTAGGATCTCGCTATGTAGCCCAGTCTGGCCTTGAACTCAAGAACTCAAGGTGATCCTCCTCCCAAGAGCTGGGATTATAAGCATGCACCACCACACGTAGCTTTTTTTTTTTCTGTGTATATAAATGCATGCAGCTGGTATTCTTCAAACAACTGCTGCTGCTCTAGAGAACTCGAATCTTGAGGCTTTCTCTCAACAGAACTGCAGGCTATGGTCTTGAGGAATAGATTGGATAATGGTGTTTGGATATATTTTTCCAAGCAACTAGCTTAGTGTAAAAATTCAGTGTGAAGTCATCTTTCTCTCAGGATCCACAGAAGTTTCCGGACATCCCAGAAGAGTACACAAGCGCGCTGGAAGATTTCCCCATAGCCACGCCCCAAGGGGTTCAGATGTTCCAGGTGGGTCCGCTGTGCCTCTAGCTGTGTGGCCCTGCGTAGCCCTCCAACACCTTGTGCTCATTACCAGTGGTGACAGAAGGCAGCAGGTGCCCCGCTGTCACCCCAGCTTGCTTCTCTCGGGGGTAACATGGAATCAGGATCTGCATCTCCCTTCTCGGCCAGTATAGCTTATCACCTAGCACTGCCTCTTGCCTTGGCCAGTGCCCACCCTTTTCAACAGTGTCTGGCAGAAAGAGGCTAGATTTTAACCAGAACATACCCTGCCTGTAGCACTCAGTGGAGGTTTTTAACCTAGACTCGGGATACGGGCTCTACTGCCTAGACCAAGGATGGGGAGCCTTTCAGAGGCCAGGCATCCAAACTGCAACCCAAAGCCCACGTAGTCATCACAAAGTGCCACCAACGCAGTTAAGCCTCAACACCCAAGTTTTCAGTTCGGTACTGCTGAGTGAGCTGGCCCGTGTGCCACAGGTCTGCGTGCCCACTTTGGCACATATGCCATCATCGCTGCCTGCCCCAGTTCCTGACTAGAAAGCCACATCTATCCGACCAGGTTTCAGGGCAGTAAAGTCCTGGTGTAAGATAACCTGCTCTGTCATTGCCAGTGTGTGGACCCCCACCAGCCCCCACAAGACCCAGTCGGGCACCCCGTCATGCACCAGGCAGCCCTCAAGCACACCACAGGGGAAGCAGTGTTCGTGGACGACATGCCCCCTGTGGGCCAGGAGCTCTTCCTCGCCGTGGTCACCAGCCCCAGGGCTCATGCCAAGATCATGTAAGGAGATGAAGGTGGCCTCTGTGCTGCCGAGGGGGTTTCAGTTTCATATTCAAACCAAAGCTGATCCGCAAATGCATGGTTTAGAAGCTCCACCTCCGTGTTTCTCAGCACACATGTGTGCTTACACACTTATGCTCGTGTAGCGTCCCATTCCCTCCTCAGTCACTGCAAACCCCTGTGGCCCAGAATGAGCAGACTCCTGTTCTTCAGCACGGGGCCTGCCTCCCGGTCAGTTCCTGAACCTGCTGCAGTTGTGTGCTGTGCATGGGGGAATGCCCACGTGGTCCCCTGCAGTTGTGGGCCTGGAGGAGTCACTCACGTGGTCCCCCTACAGTTGTGGGCCTGGGAGAGTTACTCATGTGGCCCCTTGCAGTTGTGGGCCTGGGGGAATCACTTATGTGTTCCCTCTGCATTGTGGGCCTGGGGGAGTCACTCACGTGGTCTCCCTGCAGTTGTGGGCCTGGGGGAGTCACTCATGTGGTCCCCCTGCAGTTGTGGGCCTGGGAGAGTCACTCATGTGGCCCCCTGCAGTTGTGGGCCTGGGAGAGTCACTTATGTGGTCCCCTGCAGTTGTGGGCCTGGGGGAGTCACTCACATGGCCCCCTACAGTTGTGGGCCTGGGAGAGTCACGTGGTCTCCCTGCAGTTGTGGGCCTGGGAGAGTCACTCACATGGCCCCCTACAGTTGTGGGCCTGGGAGAGTCAC